TAGCCTGCTATATTTTTGTCGAATCTGCTTCTTTGTCAGCCGTTTTTATAAAGGTATAAAATCGACCAGACATAGAATAGAATTTTTGGGTGTTTCTTTCTGTTGTAGACCGAGTACACTGCCCCTGATCAAAATAGAACTGCGACACAACTCTTCGAAGTCTTACTTTGAGAAATTGTGGATAACATTCTTGTCGCTGAACCATGTCACGTCCAAAACTGCAAAGCCACCTTTTTTTTTTCTCAACTGATCATTCAACCAGTCTGTGGAGACAACAGTTTGCTTACTATCTGAGGTCATCTGGACGAAATCAATCTGCTTCTGCCACAACAAACTTAAGTAAGAAAAATCAAGAATTTGCTTTAAGAGCTAGCTGCGGGGAAACTGGGAACTAGTTAGTTGAGAGGGAAATATCTTGGCCGTCACATGATTATTTCACACGGTGTGAAGCGGCTTTGAGTTAAACTTCTTCGCGGCGTAGTCAGGCTGTTAAGTTCTGAACCTTACAAAAAACGTGATTAAAAATAGAGTTAAGTGACCATTTAAAAGTTTTCTTTTTAGAATATTTTAAGGGAATATTCTATTCCATTCTTTTCAGCCCCCGAAGAACGTTTACGCTAAAAACCGAACTAATTTCTTCACATGCGGCCCAAGCTCTCTTTGAGAACCACACAAGCCGGAACACAATTTGCATATCGATTTATAAGGATTTGTATGGGATTTTCTACAAGATATCCATAGAGATAGTTAAAAGTGAAAATATGAAATAAAAATGGCTTACCTTATTAAATCAAGCGCTTAAATCAAGTGAAATCGGTAAAATAACCACACCAGGAGCAAGCAACACACGTATGGAATAAGGTAAGCCATTCTTAACCTTTGTCTACGATTAAAATATACACTTGGAACCTTTTTCGAGTTGAAAATTGCGCACCAACATCAAGTTAATCCGAAGAGAGTCAGTGACGCATTACAAGTTCTTGCGTTCTCGGTATTTAAGAACCAACATTTTAGACGTTGACAAAAAAAAAAATGCCTTTGAACAAAAATGAAATTACTTCATTACAAGCGATCAGGGGTGAGGGCCTTTTTGCAGTTACTTCCCACCACGCGAACTACGATTTTACATTCAGTCGATGGACCGAGTGTCAGTATTAGTGGAAAAAAAAAGCTGAGATCTCCGCATTAAGCAAGAGACAAAGAATTCTGAACTGCAAAGATTTTATTGTAGATCTTCTTCTTCTTTTTCTTGCTCTATTTACCGCTATTATCACAATATTCATTCCACTTATGTTCTATCGTTACTCGAGAGCGAAATGCCTTAACAGCCACTTCTTGTATTCCAACCTTGGAAGTTGTTATCTGGCTGACTGAGAAAAAGCTCAACTGGCAGAGCGTAATAGCCCGCTTTCAAAGAGGGAAAACCTACGATTCACTAGACTTATCACGTGTAAAATTACGCACATTAAGGATTTACTATTGACCTTGACTTGAACTAGTCCACTGAAAACAAATCCTGAGTTGCATTGCAATAATGTATCACCTCTCCCAGTCATCAAAATATAACAATTGAGAATAAGAGCTCCTTCAAATCTTTGGCGAGTTCTTTGCATTTAATATTCTCTGTACAAATTCGACTTCTTGCCACTCCATGACCAGAGTGTTGCTCGGAGTAACGAAGAACTCCGTTGCCGGCTTAACATTGTGAAGTCCTAGACCACGCCTCACATATCTGGAATGAATGGGACACGTCTGCAGAATGTATGTCCCCATGGCAACCAAGAAGGGGCTTAGCCAACAACTACTTTCAATTGGTTGACCGTTCGCGACCACGTGATCTCCATTGACTTTCGTGACGTTATTTGCATCTTCGCCCAAAGAAAGCAAACTTTGCACTGTCAACATTCCTGAAAATAAAAGAGAAAAGGTTGAAAAATGTTACTTTTGGTGTTATCATACATTGGTAATAACTGTCCTCCAACTGTAAGGTGTATGGCTAATTTTCAACAAAATCTTGACTTTAGGGAATTCCCCATCACATCCAAGAAGTAATTCTACTTAAACTGACTCGTGGAAAATATTCTAGAGGAACAATCATTTGCATTGCCATAGATAATGTATTTGTACTCAAAGTAGTTTAATCGCGAGTGAAAACAGCATTTTCATACGTGTTCTCAACACCTCCTCTATAAAGGTTATAAATTCCATTGCCATCTGAAATATTATATTTCTTGGATTTTAAGTTGGTAAATAAGTTGTATTAAGCCATCAAGAAAGACTCTTTTTCCCATGTTCTGACCTTGTTCGTTCACGAAAATCATTGAATTGAGACTGGAAGAGCTGAATCTGGACCCGAGGTCGTCAACTACCATAGCCACGACCGAACAAACATCACGTGACCAATTCCTCGTTGTCGGAGCAATTGGAACAACTGGTACAGATTTGGAAACGATGTTCTGCGACTCACACTTAGCTAAAAACGTCTTCCATTCTGTAACAACGTTCTTTTGCGTTATAATTGTCATTTCCTTATCTTGTGCAAGAAGTGCTTTAACGATACATACAACTGCCGACATCTGTCTCTCGGAATCTTGCTTTGCCCCTTCCTGCGGCAGTGTTACTATGGCAACATATGATGCATGAGAAAGCGCCAAAGCTGATTTCAAAAGTTTGTCCTCCCGTTCTTGGAGTCCATTGCTTGACACTTTGGGTTTGATTGATGTGAATTCATTCTCTTCGTTTACAATTTTATCCATGGCTTCTTGGGAGACTAAGGAGGCAAATTGTGGCGACTCTGACAGAAAGATCACCTTTGGCGACAGACTAGTCTGCTCTGAGGGATGTTGTTGGAGAAACTCTGTCACTAGGCAGTCTGCGATGAAAAGTGAACCTGAACATCTCATTGACAAACTGACTGCAACACGAGGTTCTAGAGACGTAGAGGAAAATAAAATAGCTTTTTTACAGTTTATTGGTTGAGTTTATTGATGACCAGTAAAATAACCTTCCAGTGGCTTTAATTAACGAACGCTCTATTATCAAGGTAATTTGGTATATCAACTCAGTTGATATTGTAAATTGGCCACCGTAACGAGTTACAAGTTTAACTCGTTACGGTGGCCAATCTACAATCTCAACTTGGTTGATGTACCAAATTACCTTGTTACCCCACCGACGCAGTACCAATTTCTTTAGAAACTTTCACGCTCTATTATTTAGTTACCAGGCTACCTACGGCAACGCGTCTCGCAGTAATTCTACTGGTCTCATGCAAGACCTCATGTCGTCTACTCAATAAAGCGCGCTGCCATATTTTACTTGCGTATCTGCTCTCCTTCTGTGACAAGGCACCTCTCTAGGCGTGGTACTTTCTCAAAATTAATAAGTTGACATACAGCAAATTCTAGCAGTACGTAAAACGCACGTCACATGTGAACCAAGTGTATGACGTAGTTCACCAACGTGTTCTCAGTCTCGTTTCCAGAGTCTCACTTGTCCTTGGGAGTGGGAACTAGAAACCCTGTTCGTTATAAATTCTTCACATTTTCTCTAAACTATTTTATTTTAACTTGATTCAAATAAAAACAACATCACCATAAATTCTGAATACTTACTCGCAGCCGCCATTACTTCACTTCCAGATATTCCACAGCCCCAGAATACAAAAACATCATGTTCATCATACATTGGCTTATTTCCAATGGGGGGATTGTGAAATTCCTCTATTCCGATTAATGCAGGCGCCCCTATATGAATAGGAGCCCCATGGGCAAAATCCAAGGGTACGCAAACCTCCACCACTTTCTGAACAAACTCCCGTGGGATTGCTCGCATGGTAACGATCATATTCCCTGAGAAAGGCCCCTGGGGAATGAGTGGTATTCCACATAGGTACACCGACGGATCTTGTTTTTTGATCATATGACGAAGTGGAACTTTTGCAGCGACAAGGAAATGATCGAATGAATAACTGCAACCAAAGTAGAATGTAACCATGTCATCCCACGGAATTTCCAACAAATTCTCCTTAATTCCGATATGAATTCCATTTTCACTGACTGCATAAATGGGAAGATCCGTTCTAAAGTAATAAAGATAAAGACAAAATTACAAGCTGGAATATAGCTTAATGGTAGTTTGACCATCATTAGGGGATAACACTTTAAGATTTTGATGGATTTGTGATGGCGCTGGAAATTTTTACGTACTTTAAAGCTGAAAAGTAACGTGATGCACTACTTGCGGGGATAAATTAAAGATGCCAGTAGCGCTACGTTTCGAGTGGAAACTTGTCGAGGACTTGAATAAAGCGTACCAAAGCAGTAGAGCTATTATGCTTACCTTACATCCGAATTTGATGCCAAAGGTGGGGCCCCGACCTCTCCCGGTTTACTGCGGTAGAGCAAGGGGAATGGAGAGCTGTTAGTGATACACAGTCTTTCAAAGTCATCCGCCAAATCAAATGGCACACAGGCGATGTTAGCCTGCAGATAGCCCGCGCAAAACTGGCTACACGTGATAGGCGTTTTGGATAAGTTTTCCTTTCGAAATTGTTCACGTGCCTCTCTGGGCAGAAACTGTAGTGTGTCATGTGGGAAAGACATGGATGTCCGCAAGAAGTACAGTCTGAAAAATGGAAAATCGATTGCAGCATTAAGATTATTGCGTATTCAAGAGATATTTCCTCAACGTCCTGCATCTTAAATGTTGTAAAGGGAATTCAAGGTATATGATGAAGTTCCCTACGTCCAGTCCAAAATTTTCCAGCAGAGGGATAGATGACAGCAGTCAGTGTAAAACGCAGACTGCGGACTGCAGACCGGGGGGTAAAATGCAGACTGAGGGTAAAATGCAGACTGCGGACTGCAGACCGGGG